AGAATTTTTTGTCGCGTCTGTGCGAACGTATGTACATACGTATCTCGCATAACTCAAAAACGAGTAGTCTCAGAACGTTGAAATTTTGTATGTATGACTGCTATAACATGTAGATGTGCACCTCGTATTTTGATTGCAGTCGGCCGCACCAAACGTATATAAATATATTTATAAATATATCCACTCTATTACCCGGCTCAGTGATCTCAGTTTCTTTACTCTTATATGTTTGTAAATTGTACATTTTTTGCTTTAAAAATGATTGAATTATGTTGTTTTTATCTTCCGGTTAAGGATTTTATGCCTTTAGCAAATCTGTCTGCAATAGTTTTAGAATTATCAGCAATTTTAAACTTGTTTAATTGCCGCTAAGCTTGTTTTCAATGGCGGCCATTGATGTTTACATTTGAAACAGGACACTAGTGGATTTGTTGCCAATCTAGAGAAACTTAGCTTCGCAACAACAAAGATAATGCATTCATTTATTATTGCCAATTAAATCATGCTTAATTCTTTCTGGGAATTTTTTCGAGGAAATACCGTTTGAGATTTCTTCGTTTTTTTAATAATAATAGATATTTGAGTTTTTATGTAATTTTTTGCCTTCTCGCGAAGTGAGAACTGAATTAATTAATGAAATACTAAATCGTCTGTGAAAAACTGTTTGTTTTTTTTGTTTTGTTTGCTTAATTTTCTTTTATAACAGTTCTAGCTTTATTATGTATTTGAATAGAACATGTGACAACGATTATATAATTCTTTAAATGATATGCATTTTTTGCATTCTGAGTTTTAATCCCCCCAACCGGTATGGTTAGCGTTTGCTGACTACCGTGCCGAAGGGTCCGGGTTCGAATCCCGGAGAAGGCATGGATGTTTGTATATGTTTATAAAAAATTTTTAAAACTTTTGTTGTTAATTTCAATATTAACCCTCACGGATTGGAGGAAACGGCGTTCGCCAAAGTCCTCATCATCATCTTCTCTTCTTGTCTAAAAAGCAAGATTGATAATACTGATACTGATACTGAGTTTAAATTAATGAAATATAATACTGTTGTTAACCTGGGTCAGGTTTCGCTATGGTAAAAGTGAATTTTAAAGAATGCATTTATTATATTTGTTTTTATTTGCGCTGTCGCGAAGTAGGTTTAATTCAATCTAATAAGTTTAAATAAAATGCAAGAAAAAATGCGTATAATTTAATATTCCGTACAAGGAAGTCATGTGGTGTACACATCAGATTTTTATTTCGTAATTTGCGCAAATTATTGAATTTTTGATTCACACATTCGACAGTTTAAGAGCAATTTGTTGCCTCTTGGCAAATCATAAGATATTTCTGTTTCAAATTTAACGAGGAAACTTGGTAGTTATAAACACATACGTTGGTATAAGACAAAGCATAAGAAATTTTTATTTCAAATTTCATAAAAAAACGCAGCGATCTACACGAAATATGCTGTAAATAAAATACTTTTGTCTTCAGCACATTAGTGTTTTGCTAAACATGGAGGTACAAGTGAAATTTAGCTAATTAAGTTTTAACAAATATTATGGAATATTGCCCTGAGGCGAAGAAGGTTAATTAGTTTTTAAGCGTGCAAAAGCTCGCGGCGATAAGGCGAAACAAATTGGCAAAGCATATGTCACTCTTTAGTGGCACAAAGAAGAGTTATTCTTTCCAGTGCCATTTGATGCTGCTGCCAAGTTGATGATTTAGTAATCAGCATGAATATTTCTGCAAGGTTAATGATTATTTCTGCTGCTTTTAAAAATAAGTTTTTATATCTGCCGTTAACTTGTCTTTTGTTAGTCCTTCAACAGGTAACAGATGATTTTCTCGTTGTAATCCTGAAATTCATGATTGGTTGCAAGCGTTCACTAGCTTGTGTTATCCCTGATACTCCGTTCCTCAGCATACACTTTACTATACTCTCACTACACTTACTTCGGGTCTGTTGGGATTTTTCTTCGGAATTCTTCGTCAGCTCCGGAAAATTTTCGTCTGCCATTCGAATATATAGTTCTGTCTGTTTCTGCTGTTCTCGGGGTTTCAAAAGGTTCTTGATGTACTCGGGACACCCCTTATAATTGCCAACATGAGGTTCTCGGCAGTAAAGACTACCAGATGTGTATTCATTCTTCAGAGGGCATTCAGTACTTTTGTGGTTTAAACTACATTTCATACATTTTGTAGCACATAAGCACAGATACTGTTTCTGGCAAAATCTCTGGTATTTATTACATTGGAATGGCCAATTTTTCTCCGGCTTGAATTCTTCTCTTCTTTCATTAATACGTAGAATGTTGTTTAAATTATACACAGCTTTCCTTTCTTCAGTTCTCTCAAGTTCAAATCGGTATATCGGCAGTTTTTCAGTAATACATCCATTCTTCTTCAAAATCTCTTTTACCCGTATGACGAGGGAAGTGTCCGACTACAAGGCTATCATTCATGGCTTCTTCGGAAATAATCTTGGGAATTCTCTTAACTATAAATTTTACTGGTTTTTAGCTATTACATTGATTTATACGGAAGGAATGTTACGTTACTGCTGACTTTGACCCCCTAAGGATCGGTAAGTCTGATTTTTCGCGTAGATGAAAAAGGAAGTTTTCTTCATCTCTTCTTGAAACTTGATATGTGCAAATCACCAGTAATTCTTTGTTTAGCTCGCGCCAGTTGGAATTGCTAATTATAGTTGAAGGAAGATTTTCTTTCACTACATCTGATTCGTTTTCTATTGCCATATAACTTAGAAGTGAAAATTTATTCCGGTGTGAAATTTCAATCGTCTTTCCAGGAGCAATTTCTGCTGCTTTCTTTGGGAATTTCCAGGTTGTTTCTTCTTTATCGCCAGTTTCCGTTTCTTGCCATGGTTTTCTCTAAATCTCCGAGTAGGTAATCTCTGTAATTTTAGCCCAGCTTGCATGGAATACAAGTTTGCGATCTTTAGTGATTTTCACATTTCCAAATCTTACGCTATCTTCAGTATGTAGCGTTAGCCTTAATAGTGATTTTCTGAACAAATTCTGGTATAAATGTAAATGCTGGATCAGTGACTGTTATATCAATAGCTTTCCTATATTCGTTCTCCAGGTATTTAAATTCTGGTACTGTTATAGGAATTAGTAAATCATTGTTTCGATCTTTTTCCTCTTGTCCAGTATTCTCTGGAAATTGGTTCGTTTTCTCTTCTTCTTCTTCTTCATTTTTACAGCAGTTTCTGTCTTTGGTTATTTTAAAAAATCTTTTTTTTTAAATTTCTGAGATTTTGGGTACAACAGAATTGTCTTCAGAATCTTCTGACATTTCTTTATTATCATTTGACTCTCTGAATAGAGCCATCGTTCAAAAGTGTTATGAATTTAACCATGGAAATTCAAAACCATACAATTCTCACAAAACGCCGTTTTTACCATTTTGATAGACCGCTTCAGATATTATTCAACAAAATCATTCTTGTGTTAAACGAAATACTAAAAGCAGCTCATCATTGATAAATTGATTCATCAACTAAGATGATTATCTTCTGAGATACTAATTATGATCATTAATTCATCGACTAAGTTCATTATTGATTCCATCATATAAATACTAAAAGTAGTTCATTACTGATCATCTCTAACCACCGTTAAGTGTATTTACATCAATAACAAAACTCGTGTGTTGCTATTCGACACAACGTAAGATATTAATTTTTTTTCAAACTAAAACTATCTATCAAACTGTCTATTACTGAGTTAGAAACTAAGCGATTAAAAGCCAACAAATGCCGTTTTTAATATACTTTAAATTTGTATTCTGATTGATTTTCAAGGAAAAAGTAATTAAATTCATGATATTTAATTAAAAACCTTAAATATTATTAATAATTTGCACAGGCTGGGTTCTTAAAGTTATTATAAATATTTTCTTTTTATAATAGCTAAATCTAAAAAAAAGAGGTTAAATTGTTTGTTGCAGAATGATGGAAAAATTACTATCACAAAAACTGTATGTTAAAAGAGGAATGAAGAGTACTTGGGCTAACAGCAGCGACGGCAAATAATGGCCTAGTATTTCGGAGCTGTTTTTATCCACAACCGTACCTATACTAATTTGCTTAATCCGGAATATGAAAACGTTTAACAACGTTCATCAGTTAAAAGTAAATTTTTTAAAAACAAATAAATTGTATAACTCTTAATTTTCTTTTCATCATAACACCTGTTCAAGTACTATAAGAGTAATATAAACAAAATCAAAAAGCAGGAGCGCTGGCGAGCGCCTGCTGCTTGATTTTGCTTTCTGCTTGTCGATGATTAAGAAGCATAGAAAAGGTAGGAAGAAACACAGAGAGAAAAACGGTGCTCGTGCGCACTCGAAAAAATGAGAACTTAATACCAATTTAATTTAGGTAAGTAGAGGATTTTTTTAAATTCTATTGGTTTAAAATCCAGCTTAATTGTTAACAGCATTTTTCTGTGAATTATGCGTGCGTTAATTCTCTTGTGTTGTTTCAAATACCCTGTGATTATCCGCGATTTTGTGTTAATTGTGCACATCGTCCCCGGTATTACTTCCGTAAAGAGGTAGTTGACCGTATTTGTGACACATATATCGCAACATAACAAAGCAAGTCAATGTTATATGAATCTACAACAAAACTGCGTTCTTAATTTCAAAGCAGTTTCATTTGTTAAAGTTGCTTCTAAATTACAAGAATACTAATTTATTAGATATTTGTAACGCACTTCAGGTATTCGGGTTTATTATCCTATATCTCTCTTATACTATCAGAATGATATTCCGGGATGTTGTTGGAAAATATTTAACTCAAATTGCACCAATTTTAATAATCAAAACATTCTTTCTTCCGAAGTGCATCTGCCTTTTGTAATTATCTTGCACAATGTTAGTTCGGTTGCATATAAAAAATGCAGCTGTTACGACGGTTAAAAGCACACATACGTTATCCAGTATTAAAGAAAAACGTCATTGTAAAATGAACTTACCAAATATTCCAAGTCTGAAATTAAATGTAATCACAATGACGTTTCCTAGGCTTGCAATCACAGTGCCGTCATAAGGATTCCCAGAATTCCAGTCGTAAGATTCTCCATGAATGAAGACCATTACCGGAAGTTTCGACTTCCCGTTCCTCGGAACTGCAAAGAAAAAGCAAATGTAGAGCAATTAATAGCGAAGAGCATTTTTTGCATAAATTACTTAGAAATAACAAATTGCTTACACAGAAATATCCGAATTATACTTCACATTGTTCAGAAACCAATATGCTATAATTTTAGGGTTACATATTTAAGTAGCTGTTGCTGAGTTATTTTTATTCCAAAATATATAAGGTGCAAATATCTTAAGCTGAAATAAAATATTTGATTGCAATTTGTAAACCCTATTGGAAAATTTCATAATTTGAAACAACGCTTAAATATTTTTTTATCCTAATTTCTGAACACTTGTCCGTTAAGCATTGGTTGGGAATAGCAGCAACATATCGTTCAAAAGGTCACTAGAAATTTTATCCTCCCGTACCCATATTAAAAAATGATATTACATACCAGATTGGGGGTCGGAAAAAAGCAAACATAGATGGTATCTGTTGCAATTTGAACCTGAGCTGTACAACATAGTAGCCATCATGCCTAACCACCGCACCTATCGCACTGCATAATAATATTGTACGTTACATAATAATATTCTCACTGATACTCAAAAAGAGTAGTGACTATACAAGAAGCTACATTTTTGCCTTCGAATGATTTTTCTATCTTTCATTTATGCAGTTCCCTTATTCAAACACGTATTCAGTAAAAATAATCAGATATTAATTCTGTAATAAAAATATTCTTTTGAGAAAAATTTGGGTGGAGGAACATTATCATTGTTAATTTAAAAGTAACTGAAAAATACTTTATAATTTAGCACTCTGCTTATCTGTGGAAATACGTTTGCGAAAGGATACGCTTTTGCTTCAAACACTGAGTAAGACATACATTATTTAAAATAATGCATATTAATGACAAGCATTTTAATGTTTAAAAAAATTAAATCTTCACGTGATGTGTTGCCGCATTGAAAGATAGCTACGATTACGGCAGTAAAGTAATTTCCTAGAAAAGCTCTCCCCCCTTCATGACAAGGCAACAACGAATTTCTGTTGTAAATATGAATCATTTCCTGGCAGGGCAGTCTATTAATCAGACAAATAATAGCGCTCTGTTGCCTCTGTATGAAACGATATGTGGCCGCAAAACGCCTACGCTATTCAAAGTACTATGCCAACCGAGAAACTCCATTCGACTCCCACAGAGAGGCGTGAGTTTGCTTTTCGCATTATTGGTACAATCCTTGATGATTAAATAACAATCTCCGCTGCGAATGATTATGATCGCAGTCATCATTAATTATAAGGTGGTGGCCACGAGCATTCATTGGGCAACTCGCGTTCTGGGCGGAAGTTATTATTTACTGTTCATATTCTGAAGGAGTTTGCAAACACGTTTTACAGTGGCTGTTCCGTTGCGGTTAGTAATTTAAGGCACCTTACTGAAATGATGGTAGTCCAGTTTTAGTAACTAAGAGAGTTACATAACTGATACAAGAGCACATGTTAAACTAGTTAAATAGAGGTAATTCTACATAGGGCAACCGTGCAAGAGAAATTTATACTACACCCTTTCTTGGTGATTACATTTTGTTGATTTAGAAAAATTCATCAGCAGTTATACCCATCGTTATAATCATTAATATTTTCATATTGCTTTAATAGCGCTTATTTGTTTCCTCATGCCTTCGTAGTATAAAGGTAGCACATTCAACGTGTATTCGAGAGGTCCGGGTTCGAGTCCCGGTGAGGGCATTTCTCATTTCTCACATCTCCTGCTTAAAAAAAAATCTAATGACTCTAGGAGGCTAAGTACTTTAGGTGGCGCCAGAACTAAAAACATGGTGGACAATAATTCGTCATCACCAGGATTTGGCGAGTGGTTCCCCTAATCCCCTGTCGCTCTTTGAAAGGGGGAGTATATAAGGTATTGTCTCCCTCCTTCCAGCATGCCTTAGTTCTGTAATGGTAGCACAGCCTGCGTGTATTCGAGAAGTATAGGATCGAGTTCCGGCGAGGGCATTGCTCATTTTTAATGACTCTACAAGCTGAAATGTAATAATTTTAATCTGAAACATTTCAGTGATTGAAAAATTTGGGGTTTATTCAAGTTATGTCACAATTATAAAAGAAATGAGTTTATAAACGATGGAAAAAAATAAAAAATTCAAAAGTATTTTTTAATTTGGAGGGGAAAAGTATGTTATAATTAAAAGACTTACTTCCTCTTAGATGTTGCCATGCTGCAAATCTTAATATTACATAAAAATATTAAATTATGTTGCTATTAAAAGTTAGCGTACATCTGATACAACCAAATTCATAGAAATTTTATTGTTTTACTTCTTTTATATTCTACATATTAAACTGTGTCTTTTATATCGTATCTTTTATATTAAATCTTTTATATTGTATCTTTTATATTAAATCCTTTATATCGTATCTTTTATATTGTGTTTTTATATTGTATCTTTTATTTTTTGTTTTGTATTATGCCATTGTAATTTTCCATGCGTGTACATATAATTTCTCACTTTTTGTGTATAATTTTAAAATGCATAGCGGCTAAAGAAATGTGCCAACTTTAAGATGTAAAATTTGTAGAGTTGCAGTCGTATTATCCGTGCGTTGATTTATGCTTAATGTTGTCTAGATTGGTTTTTCTTTCTTCTTGCTTCTTGCTTTTAATTAAAAGCGCCACTTCACTTTGTTGCCTCAGACTCTATACCAGGATATCAGTCACTTTTGGCTCAAAAGCTGCTCACTGCAAAAGTGGGCAATTTAACCATACGGTGACAATAACGTACTGAATTTTGACAGTCGCTGGAGACACGTTTGGCAGGAAAAGTGAATCAGAACCGTTAAAGCGGCATTACTAGCTGATAAGAACATTTTCTATGTGAACCAGACGCCTCGTTGGCGAATGTATGCAGAGAGAAAGTGAGAAATACATCCGAATTTCATTATAAATTTCTAGGAAAATATTGCTTGGCGTTACGATTGAAGGATAATATTAAGTACCGAATGAAACAATTCTGTACGTGAGCAAAACGTTCGGTATTTGTTTACAATCAAATACGTTTTTATGCATATAGTAAACATTTTATGAATATTTGGTAATTAAGTTTTACAAAATAAATATTTTATTTAGATATTTTTAATAAATACCTTTTTCTAAAACTAAAAACTTTAGTTCTTTGTAAAATACCTTTATTGCTTATACATTCATCAATGTAACTGTGTGCATTGCGGCTTTTTTCTGAATTTATGTATATGACATAATAATTATGGTTAATATAACTTTATCTAAATATCGGAAAATAGCACATTATAATTTTATACTAATATCCATGTTATTATCCAATTAATATTCTGGAGTGTCAGTCTATGAGTAAAATCAACATCTTTTGATGTTGATTCTGGTTCACATAGATTCTAATATGAATCATTTTAAGAGAAAATCTCTGTATATGTCAGAATCTCTTTGTGCATGTTTAAATTCAGCAATTAATTTTCTAAATTAATCTTTACATACTGATAAGATTATCACTCTAGAAAATTATAATTTTTGCTCTGTTCAGTTGGAAGCAGTCTACTTGGTCACTTAACTGTTAGAATCTGCTGTAGCAGTGTATATCTTCACTTCTGAGGAAGTCTTACTTATTTATTCCTAAAACTATTATTTCAGCTAATATTGCAAGTCAAAGACAGCAATAGTATATTATACACATACATGCACGTTCATGTTATCTTCCAATATTTGCATCTACCAGTATAACGGAAGTTTCACTGTGATTCAGATCTACACCTCGATTGCACACACTTCATAGTTCCAAATTTTTGGCATATAATTGTTTCACATCATTTGGTATTAACTTTTGAAAGGTACAGTGTCTCACAAAAGTGATGGGACACTTGTGCTTTACAAAAGGAAACTGTAATAAAATAAATTAAAAAAACATGTAAAAAATTTTTGTGGGTGTTTTTCATACTAAATTTAGTAACAATTAGTACATAACATACCTTTTCTCAAAATATTAAAATAATAATTTAATAAAAATACAATTGTTTAGAAGGGAGCAAAAAAATGGCTCACATAAGTGACGGGACACCATTAGATACTACTACGTACTACAATAAAAATATTTTTGGGGCTTTTATTTTTTACTCAAAAGCAATTAGCAATAATTTATAAAATCTTCTGCAGTCTTTCTCTCCCGTTTGTTTTGTAATTTTTGTGTTTTTTAGCTCTGTGCAGCCATGAATGCTAAACGAAAAGAAACTTTGCCTGAAATTGGAAAATTAGTTATTAATTTGCATAGTGAACGTGAAAAATCTTTAGAGAACTGCTGAACAGTTAACATGAGTCATTCATAGTTTCAATATCATTAAACGATATAAAAAGAATCATATGATTCAGGATAAAAGAAGACCTGGCCGACCATCAAAGCAATATTAAACAAATCCAGAATGAGTGCTCCTAAAGTTGCTGCTGATTTACAACATTATATGGAGTAATTGTTATCCTGAGACTATTGAAGAGTAATTCGATCTGCTGGATATCACGGTAGAGCAGCCAGGAAAAATTTTTCGTAAGTGAAAAGAATAGAAAACTCAGACTGGCTTTCGCAAAATCCAACATAAATAAGAACTCTGATTACTGGAATGAAGTTATATTTGCTGATGAGAGTAAATTTAATATATTTGGTTCTGACGGTAGAATCTTGGTGTACAGAAAACCCAGGAAAGAATTTCGGAAACAGAACTTGATGCCAACAGTAAAACATCGTGGAGGAGGAGTTATGGTATGGGGGTGTATGTCGTCCGCTGGAGTTGGTAATCTTGTTTTTATTGACAGTATAATGGATCAGTACAAGTATATTGACATTTAAATCAAAATTTGAAATCTCAGCACGAAATTGACCCTTCATAACGATTTTTAAATTCTACCAGGACAATGACCCAAGCACACTGCTTTGAACGTAGACTCTGGCTGCTGTATAACTGTCCTGAAATAATAAAACACCACCACAATCTCCAGACTTAAATCCCATGAGAATTTTGGC